TAAGTTGATCACCCTGTATATATATTATATTATTATTATATAATAATTAATTATATTGTAAATGGAACTTCCCAAAGTTGTGTTCATTTTAATTAATCGACATCTTGTAGGTAATCGTAGTACTGACAAAGAAAAAAGAAAAACAAGTAAAATTAAACATAAATATCTAAAGTTCAGCTCTTTGAAATATCGGACATAAAAATTTTAAAATTGCAAAATAAATACGTTTCTCTACAACCACATAGTAATTAGCTAATTTTCGCACAGAATATAAAACAAAAAAGTATGCCGTTGTGTTCAACTAAACTAATATATTTCATAACCATTCTACTCGTAGGAAAACTGCATGATAATGAAATCTGTTAAACTAATTGTCATACATTATACAACCAGACAACTGAAAATTCTCGATTATACGAGACGAATTGCCTGACGTTTTGTTAGGCAATACGTCGAGTTTTGAGAATTTTTAATTGTCGAGTTGTATACAGATTGTGATTGACTATATCACGAAATAAAAAAAATTTATGGGGCAGAATCGAACCCTGGCCCACCGCGTTGAAAACAAAAGTTCTACCGATCGATCACAGATCCTATATAAAAAAAGTTTCGTGCTCAAATTTCGTTCTCGTGCGATAATGGCCATCATATCCACCCTTGTTGCAGAAACTACTATTGAAGCATGTTTTAAATAAAAAAAACATTGGTCTATATCTGCTACCAGGGTAAATCAACGACGCCGGGAGTACGCTACCCCTAACTGGGAATTATAACGAACTCTCTGATGTCGCAACCATCAGAAATAGGTAATTTTAACAAACCCAACATCCATGTACTGAGGACCATCGGCTTTATGCCCCTTCCGAAGAACAGCATATCCTCAATATTCCTCGTACTTAATAATATAGTACCTACGAGCTGTGGCTATTACGCAACTACGCTACTACGCTGTAATTATACGAGCTACGGTTTTCCCCATATAGTATGCATCCAACTACTAACCTCGCTGGACCCTGCTTGACTTTGGATTTCGATAGACAATTAGTTGTCAACCTGATTAAGCTGGGCCCCTTGCCTTGAAGTTAAACATACATCTCAAATTCAGCTATGTTTGAAATTTCGGACATTAAAATTTTCAAATGACTTATATTATTACTTTCCTATCTGTAAATTTTTCGAGTTAGATGTATGTGGAAAATGAATATATTTAGTTTATCCTCTAAACATTTTTAGAGGTGCTGCAATAGGTTGTAAAAAATAACCGGAAAAAGCCTATAATAACTATAGTCTGTTCGCAATACTTACGCGAGTTTCGGATTAACAAAATTATGCAAATTAGTCATTGACAACCAGTTCCAATAAGCCTCTTCCCAAGAAATTAGGTAAAATTGCCCTAATGGTCAGATTTAAATTAAAATAACATTAGGGTAGGTACTAAATTTGTTACTAATAATTAATTAATCCGAAACCCGCTTAAGTATAGCGAACAGACTGTAGATAGGAAAATCATGTGTTGGACACATCAGATTTTTTTGTCTAGTTATTTAAACCCAGTTCTATCCAACATATTATTATCCTTTGTTGGAAAAACTTTAACTTTCTAATTTGGTTATAAAAATAAATAAAAAACGTGAACTGACATATCATATCTAATAAAACCGTCAAAAATGTATACATTCATAGCATATTTTAAAATAAAAATGGCATCGCTTTAATGTTTCAAGAGTAGGTAGAGTATTATTTCAAAACTGAAAACTGTTAATCCATATGAAGTCTAATAATTTAAAAACACTTAAATATTGTTCTTCTCTGTGAAGGTAGTTGCGAAATTTACCTTATTCTTAACGAGTCTTCAAATAATGTGACAACAATGTGTGTGTATGACCCCATTATGTTGGTAATAACTTAATTTCCTATAAAAAGCGCGACCTTGACAAAAAAGTGTGTAAGGGAGTGTGTATGGCCACATTAGACATTATACCGTAATATATAACCATATCTATCTTTAAGAGGACTGACCCCCTAAGTCTGTTAGCATAAAAAATGGCAAAAGAAGGAGTGTATCTAAATAATTCAAATAGCTATAAATAGATTAAAAGATTCTACATAAAGTACATGCAGAAATTTCATTGTCCCCATAATTCACGTCAGTGTCATGTGGCCGCACAATGATTTCCCGGTGTGTATGTGTGTGTGTGTGTGTGTGTGTGTGTGTGTGTGTGTGTGTGTGTGTGTGTGTGTGTGTGTGTGTGTGTGTGTGTGTGTGTGTGTGTGTGTGTGTGTGTGTGTGTGTGTGTGTGTGTGTGTGTGTGTGTGTGTGTGTGTGTGTGTGTGTGTGTGTGTGTGTGTGTGTGTGTGTGTGTGTGTGTGTGTGTGTGTGTGTGTGTGTGTGTGTGTGTGTGTGTGTGTGTGTGTGTGTGTGTGTGTGTGTGTGTGTGTGTGTGTGTGTGTGTGTGTGTGTGTGTGTGTGTGTGTGTGTGTGTGTGTGTGTGTGTGTGTGTGTGTGTGTGTGTGTGTGTGTGTGTGTGTGTGTGTGTGTGTGTGTGTGTGTGTGTGTGTGTGTGTGTGTGTGTGTGTGTGTGTGTGTGTGTGTGTGTGTGTGTGTGTGTGTGTGTGTGTGTGTGTGTGTGTGTGTGTGTGTGTGTGTGTGTGTGTGTGTGTGTGTGTGTGTGTGTGTGTGTGTGTGTGTGTGTGTGTGTGTGTGTGTGTGTGTGTGTGTGTGTGTGTGTGTGGTGTGTGGTGTGTGGTGTGTGGTGTGTGGTGTGTGGTGTGTGGTGTGTGGTGTGTGGTGTGTGGTGTGTGGTGTGTGGTGTGTGGTGTGTGGTGTGTGGTGTGTGGTGTGTGGTGTGTGGTGTGTGGTGTGTGGTGTGTGGTGTGTGGTGTGTGGTGTGTGGTGTGTGGTGTGTGGTGTGTGGTGTGTGGTGTGTGGTGTGTGGTGTGTGGTGTGTGGTGTGTGGTGTGTGGTGTGTGGTGTGTGGTGTGTGGTGTGTGGTGTGTGGTGTGTGGTGTGTGGTGTGTGGTGTGTGGTGTGTGGTGTGTGGTGTGTGGTGTGTGGTGTGTGGTGTGTGGTGTGTGGTGTGTGGTGTGTGGTGTGTGGTGTGTGGTGTGTGGTGTGTGGTGTGTGGTGTGTGGTGTGTGGTGTGTGGTGTGTGGTGTGTGGTGTGTGGTGTGTGGTGTGTGGTGTGTGGTGTGTGGTGTGTGGTGTGTGGTGTGTGGTGTGTGGTGTGTGGTGTGTGGTGTGTGGTGTGTGGTGTGTGGTGTGTGGTGTGTGGTGTGTGGTGTGTGGTGTGTGGTGTGTGGTGTGTGGTGTGTGGTGTGTGGTGTGTGGTGTGTGGTGTGTGGTGTGTGGTGTGTGGTGTGTGGTGTGTGGTGTGTGGTGTGTGGTGTGTGGTGTGTGGTGTGTGGTGTGTGGTGTGTGGTGGTGGTGTGTGGTGTGTGGTGTGTGGTGTGTGGTGTGTGGTGTGTGGTGTGTGGTGTGTGGTGTGTGGTGTGTGGTGTGTGGTGTGTGGTGTGTGGTGTGTGGTGTGTGGTGTGTGGTGTGTGGTGTGTGTGTGTGGTGTGTGTGGTGTGTGAAGAATAATAAATGTTTTATTATAAAATTTTAACGGGTATAGACTTTGTCACAAATTAAAGTTGAAAATGTCAAGGTGGAAGCTGACAATATACAAATTTTTATTGACGAAATGCTAAAACTTTGATTCCACAACGAGCTCAACCTTTATTAGTATTTTTATTTTATGGGGAAAAACAAAAAATAAAGTCTCACAGGTTTTCAGGACCTTTTATTCTAACTACTAACGCTCTAGTCTTTCCAGTATCTTCCCAAATTATTGGGTAGGTAACTCAAGCACTTAGTACACATACGTATGTACCTCGACCGTCCTCATAATCTGCGTCGATATCGAAACCATTAGTAAAAACTGTAGGACAAAAAGATCAGTAGTGTTCAACAAGTTTTACAATTAAGACGTAAAACCAACGTTCGTAAAATTATTAAAAAATTATTAAACTGGATTGTTAGAATTCAATATTATTTTTTGTTTCGTTGTTAAATAATTAATTCATTGGTATTATTATTAATTATTATTGTTAATTTTGTGGAAAATTTATAGTAATATTTTTTCGCATATTCTATTGTGTACATTTACGTAGAAAGCAAAAATCTAGTTTTATTTTGAATGGAACATCCTCTAAACAACTACATGGTTATCTTTATTTCTACTAACAAGGATGTGAAGCATAATTAATGGATCAAACAACTTACCTGAAGGAAGTTCGATCCTAATTATGCGAGCATCCTTGTTAGTGGAAATAAAGTCCCACCTCCACCATATTAGTTTATATTATTTTTAACCCCAAACTCCTAGGCTCCACAACAGGTAATGAGTAATTTAGACAGGCAGCGATATATAATAAATTTTAAATCTGAACATGTAGATCAGTGGCGTAACATAGTTATACTACATGGTTATCTTTATTTCCACTAACAAGAATGCTCGCATAATTAGGATCGAACTTCCTTCAGGTAAGTCGTTTCATCCATTAAATAAAGTTCACTTTCCTGCAGAGTAACTCGCTAATTTAAAACTTGTATAACTACACAAAAATAAGCGGTAATTTACAGAGTGATTTGGAGTACGTGTTGCGTTTATAAAATGTAGACCACTACTACTAATTCACCAAATAGCTATTCTGCATTATATTTCTGAACTATCAGTGTTTAGGTACACACCTACATTCTTTAATTTAATTAAAAATATGCTTTTATTTACAAAAATATAAGAATTGCACTACTTACAGAAGGAAAGATGAACTTGCGTTCAAAACAGTGGCGTAACAAAATAATACCTTTGAATCATATCATGGGTAGGTTGTATAAAAAAAAATAAACTAAACTACATTGTTTATTTAGAAATTCTAATATCTAATTACAAGTGATACCATTTAACAACATATCTGGGATTACTTGAATGATAATAATCATAATTATTAAAATATATCTACACATTAGACAGAAAAGAACAACTAATTCTATTGTCATTTATAGTAATCCCATTTAAATAAGGAAAATAACTCTGTATGTTACTGTATATAAAATTATCTTTTATATTTGTGTTATCCAAATAAAGCGATCGTACATTTTTTAAAGAATCCAAGTTGGTAATTAGTGAAGGATATTGGTATAAATCAACATTACTAGAAATATTGAGACTTTTTAAATTTTCCAGCCCCTCAAATATTCCAGGTGATAAGCGCGATAGCGAATGACTGTCTAATCTTAACTCTTCTAAGTTTGTTGTATAACGAAATGTTTTAAAACTGAGAGTTGTCAATGAGTTCTTGTTTATAAATAATTTTTTTAAAACAAATAATTTAAATAAATCTGGTTCCAAAAAAGTAATAGAGTTTCTCGACAAATCTAAAACAATAAGCGACCATTTTAAAGGGGCAAAAGTATTTGCGTTTATATAATTCAAGTTATTCCCGTCTAAATACAATTCTTCTAAACTAGAAAGTTCAGAAAATGTTTCAACATCGATTTCATTTATTTTAGTATCAGATATTTTCAGAATTTTTAAACTGATTAAATCTTCAAAAATATTGGCTTCTAACTTTTCTATATTTTTAAAAATGATTGAAGCATCTAAATTTAATATGTCAAATAAACCTCTGAGTGCATTTGATTCTATTGAAGAAATATTTGAATTAGTAATAAGTAATTGTGTTAAACCATAATTTCCTAGCAGACAATTGTTTTTCATGGAGTCAATTTGAGAATTTACTAAATGTATATTTTTTAAATTAATGTTTGAGATCGTTGTTTTCTCGAATACTCCATTAAACTGTAAAAATAAATTTGTAATTACAACTGTCTTGTCTAAATAAACTGGTTGTGATAGTCCATTTAAGTACATGTTTTGTACATTTATATTTTTAAAAACGTTTGGTTGAATTCCTGTTAAATTATTGTTTCTCAAGTCAATCGAATTTAAATTTGTAATAGATGAAAAAGCCAACGGTTCTAACTTATTAATAATAGAGTTAGAAATATTTAAAATTAGTAATTTGGTTAAATTTTGAAAAGCAGTTGTTTTTATCTCTTCTAATTTATTGTAACTTAAGTCTAAATGTTTAAATGGTAAATTTCTAAATGTATTATTTTCCAGTATAGCTAAATGATTCTTACTTAAATCTATAAATATTATGTTATTCATATCATAGAAAACATCATTTTCTAAACTTGTTAATCCAATATTAGAGAGATTTAATACACCTAAATTATTCAAACTGTGAAATGCTTTTGATTTAATATATTTTATATCGTTTCCTTGTAATTTTAAATAGTTTACATTTAGATTTACAAAAGTATGAGACTTTAAGTGTGTTAGTTTGTTGTTTGATAAATCTAGGAACATCAATAATTCTAAGTTTGAAAATGTATATTCTTCCAAGTTTTCTATTAAATTATTTGATAAATACAATTCCATCAGCGAATTTAAATTCTTTAAAGCCTCACTGGCAATAAATGATATTTTATTTTTATTCAGTTTCAATGTTGATAAACTCTCCATGTATTTGAAATCATCGGGTCCAATATGGGTTATATTATTTTGATTTAAATACAAATCGGTAATATTTTTACAGTCTTTAAATGAATTGGAATTTATTGTTTTAATATAATTTAAAGACAAATCAAGTCTACTAAGTGTTGGAATTGTTTCACAAATATCTACAACTTCTTCAATTATATTTTCTGATAAATTTAAAACAAAATCATTGTTTTTGTTTCCAAAAAAAACGTCCTTTGTTATGTTTTTTATACCAGAATGTGACAAATCTAAATTCCATATCGTTGAATTGAAAAACAATGGTTTATTTAAAATAGTAAGATTATTATAACTCAAGTTTAGTTTATGAATATTCATATTTTTGAAATAATTTTTAGAAATATTTGACAAATTTGTTTTTGAAAAATTAAGAGAAAAAGGCTCGTCGTTTCTAATATTTAGTTTTCTTTCATCGTTTAAGTATCCTAAATATGTATTGTTCGCACTAAATCCAAAACTATGTAATATATTTTTTGGTATAAAATGTGAGTGAAAGTTTCTAATGGTCAAATCGTCATTTGAATTTATACATGAAATATTATTTCCCACTATTTCGAGAACATTTTTATTACCTGCAATTTCAATATTTTCTAGCAAATTAAAATTAAGATTTAATGATCCAACATGAGAATTCAATTTAGTTTCATTAAAATCAGTAAGTTTATTATAACTTAAATCAACAGAATCTATAACAATTCTATTTGTGGCTGGCAATATAGAAGAAATTTTATTTTTACTTAAATCTAATTGTTGAATATTACGATTAAGAAAATAAGTTAAATCTATTTGCTTTAAATTATTTTGACTCAAAATTATTTTTTCTATAGATTTTGGCAAAGTTTTTACGAATTTTAAATCTTTCAAATTATTTTGACTTAAATCTAATATGTACAATCTTGGCAATCCTTGAAAAGCTCCATCACTAATATATTGAACGGATGAGTTGCGTATAGTAATAACATTATATGCATAGTCAATGCCAAGGATATTAATATGAGAAATATTACTCATACTAAAACTGGGAAACTGTTCAATTGAAATATATTCAGAATTTTTAATGACGATATTATAGATTATTTCTTGACTTCTGCGGAATTTAAATGATTGGTAAAGCAATTCCTCTTCGCCGATGATGCCATTGCAACTGAGTCGATGATAATCATATTGACAAGTTCCACATAAGGCCAAAGCAGGAAAGCATAGAAGGATGATTATGAGTTTCTGCAAAATAAAAACAAGTATTAGAAATTAAAAATTTAAAAAAACCGACTTCAAAAACGTGCAGATGTCATCATCACATCTTAACCAAATTTATATGGGAGGTACCCCCTTATTAACAAAAAAAAAGAATCATATAAATCGGACAAGGTGGTAAAGCATTATCACTAAACATACATAAAAAATGAAGAGTTTGAGGATTTTCTCATGGATCCAATTATTAGATTTTGACCGAATTTATACGGGACAACCCCTGAAATACTCCCTTTATAACAAAAAAAGAATAATTGAAATCGGACACCGTGTTAAAGAATAATCGCTGAACATACATAAAAAAAAAATATTGCGACGAATTGATAACCTCCTCCTTTTTTGAAGTCGGTTAAAAATTATTATAATTTGTTGAAAATAAAAGAATAACTTAGTGAAATATTATTTAACCATTTTTAAATGGATAAAATAGACATTTATTGTAGTGGAAGTTCTTCTGCGATACTGCTTTAAGGGAACGGTAATTACATATACCATTGGAATCTAAAATTAAGATAGCAGCGGCGTCTGTACTTGACATTTAACCCCTTACCCATGGGCGTCGTTTGGGGGGCAAGGGGGGGCAATTGTCCCCCCTGGCTTTTACGACTTAATCAACAACCCGTAAGATGTCCATTATGAACAACAATCTCATACAAATATTAATATTCAGAATACTATAGTTGAAGAATATGATAGGTTGAATATATTTATTGCGTATTTATTCCCTTACGTCGCTTACATCAAGTTTTTCCGAAAACCTTAGATTATAGAAACCTTAGATGGAACATAAGACACTGCGAATAATCCCATTTCGAAATTATTCACACCCACCAATCACAGTTGAGAACATCACATGTCAGAGCATTGTCCATCCAAATTTAATGTGTCAACGAGAACTAATTTTGTATTTTGTCCACGACCACTTAATAATAAATCAATATTGTACCTCCTAACTAAAAGCATATAGTACCCATATATCACGGAGTGAATTATGATAATTCACGCTTTTGTAATTCTGGCACATTCCGGTAGATAACTAAAGATAGGCGATACTTTTCATAACGATATTTTCTAGATCGAAAAATCGAAAAATCGAAAAATCGAAAAATCGAAAAATCGAAAAATCGAAAAATCGAAAAATCGAAAAATCGAAAAATCAAAAAATCGAAAAATCGAAAAATCGAAAAATCGAAAAATCGAAAAATCGAAAAATCGAAAAATCGAAAAATCAAAAAATCGAAAAATCGAAAATCGAAAATCGAAAATCGAAAATCGAAAATCGAAAATCGAAAATCGAAAATCGAAAATCGAAAATCGAAAATCGAAAATCGAAAATCGAAAATCGAAAATCGAAAATCGAAAATCGAAAATCGAAAATCGAAAATCGAAAATCGAAAATCGAAAATCGAAAATCGAAAATCGAAAATCGAAAATCGAAAATCGAAAATCGAAAATCGAAAATCGAAAATCGAAAATCGAAAATCGAAAATCGAAAATCGAAAATCGAAAATCGAAAATCGAAAATCGAAAATCGAAAATCGAAAATCGAAAATCGAAAATCGAAAATCGAAAATCGAAAATCGAAAATCGAAAATCGAAAATCGAAAATCGAAAATCGAAAATCGAAAATCGAAAATCGAAAATCGAAAATCGAAAATCGAAAATCGAAAATCGAAAATCGAAAATCGAAAATCGAAAATCGAAAATCGAAAATCGAAAATCGAAAATCGAAAATCGAAAATCGAAAATCGAAAATCGAAAATCGAAAATCGAAAATCGAAAATCGAAAATCGAAAATCGAAAATCGAAAATCGAAAATCGAAAATCGAAAATCGAAAATCGAAAATCGAAAATCGAAAATCGAAAATCGAAAATCGAAAATCGAAAATCGAAAATCGAAAATCGAAAATCGAAAATCGAAAATCGAAAATCGAAAATCGAAAATCGAAAATCGAAAATCGAAAATCGAAAATCGAAAATCGAAAATCGAAAATCGAAAATCGAAAATCGAAAATCGAAAATCGAAAATCGAAAATCGAAAATCGAAAATCGAAAATCGAAAATCGAAAATCGAAAATCGAAAATCGAAAATCGAAAATCGAAAATCGAAAATCGAAAATCGAAAATCGAAAATCGAAAATCGAAAATCGAAAATCGAAAATCGAAAATCGAAAATCGAAAATCGAAAATCGAAAATCGAAAATCGAAAATCGAAAATCGAAAATCGAAAATCGAAAATCGAAAATCGAAAATCGAAAATCGAAAATCGAAAATCGAAAATCGAAAATCGAAAATCGAAAATCGAAAATCGAAAATCGAAAATCGAAAATCGAAAATCGAAAATCGAAAATCGAAAATCGAAAATCGAAAATCGAAAATCGAAAATCGAAAATCGAAAATCGAAAATCGAAAATCGAAAATCGAAAATCGAAAATCGAAAATCGAAAATCGAAAATCGAAAATCGAAAAAAATCGAAAATCGAAAATCGAAAATCGAAAATCGAAAATCGAAAATCGAAAATCGAAAATCGAAAATCGAAAATCGAAAATCGAAAATCGAAAATCGAAAATCGAAAATCGAAAATCGAAAATCGAAAATCGAAAATCGAAAATCGAAAATCGAAAATCGAAAATCGAAAATCGAAAATCGAAAATCGAAAATCGAAAATCGAAAATCGAAAATCGAAAATCGAAAATCGAAAATCGAAAATCGAAAATCGAAAATCGAAAATCGAAAATCGAAAATCGAAAATCGAAAATCGAAAATCGAAAATCGAAAATCGAAAATCGAAAATCGAAAATCGAAAATCGAAAATCGAAAATCGAAAATCGAAAATCGAAAATCGAAAATCGAAAATCGAAAATCGAAAATCGAAAATCGAAAATCGAAAATCGAAAATCGAAAATCGAAAATCGAAAATCGAAAATCGAAAATCGAAAATCGAAAATCGAAAATCGAAAATCGAAAATCGAAAATCGAAAATCGAAAATCGAAAATCGAAAATCGAAAATCGAAAATCGAAAATCGAAAATCGAAAATCGAAAATCGAAAATCGAAAATCGAAAATCGAAAATCGAAAATCGAAAATCGAAAATCGAAAATCGAAAATCGAAAATCGAAAATCGAAAATCGAAAATCGAAAATCGAAAATCGAAAATCGAAAATCGAAAATCGAAAATCGAAAATCGAAAATCGAAAATCGAAAATCGAAAATCGAAAATCGAAAATCGAAAATCGAAAATCGAAAATCGAAAATCGAAAATCGAAAATCGAAAATCGAAAATCGAAAATCGAAAATCGAAAATCGAAAATCGAAAATCGAAAATCGAAAATCGAAAATCGAAAATCGAAAATCGAAAATCGAAAATCGAAAATCGAAAATCGAAAATCGAAAATCGAAAATCGAAAATCGAAAATCGAAAATCGAAAATCGAAAATCGAAAATCGAAAATCGAAAATCGAAAATCGAAAATCGAAAATCGAAAATCGAAAATCGAAAATCGAAAATCGAAAATCGAAAATCGAAAATCGAAAATCGAAAATCGAAAATCGAAAATCGAAAATCGAAAATCGAAAATCGAAAATCGAAAATCGAAAATCGAAAATCGAAAATCGAAAATCGAAAATCGAAAATCGAAAATCGAAAATCGAAAATCGAAAATCGAAAATCGAAAATCGAAAATCGAAAATCGAAAATCGAAAATCGAAAATCGAAAATCGAAAATCGAAAATCGAAAATCGAAAATCGAAAATCGAAAATCGAAAATCGAAAATCGAAAAAAAAAAAAAGTAACGCGTTACTTTATCGTTACTTTTGATGCAAAGTAACGCGTTATATAATCGGTACCGTTACTTTTTTGAAAAAGTAACGAAATATTCGTTACTTTCCGAAAGTAACGCGTTATTGTAACTTCGTTACTTTTAAAGTAACCCGTTACTAAAAAACTAACGCGTTACTTTAAAAAAGCGTTACTTTTGGAAATAAATTTTTACTATAGATATATAGATAATGAAAGTTATATTGTTATTTGTAATTTATGCTTTATGTAACATGTCTCAACACTTGAAAAATAAACAGTCTTATTCTAGCAGTTATGAGATTGTAAGTTGCAACGGTAACCTACGGGATAAACCATACATTTAATATTTACCTACTTACATCATGAAATTACCTAGTCAAAATCTCTGTCAAATTTTAATATGATTAGGCTACTAAATATTAATCATCGTTTTTGCAACCGGCTGTTATATAAGAGGAGATTACTCATATGCTTCAATTAATTCTCAATTAAACTTAAAATCACTTCACTTTAGAAGAACACTTTCTGATATAATTTTTATAAATAAATTGTTAACAGGGAATATTGATTCTCCCCAAGCAGTAGGTCTTATTAATTTTAATACCTTTAGTAGGACTAGACAATTCGACTTATTTAATATACCACTACATACCACTAATTATGCCTTTAATTCACCAGTAAGTCGAATGTTACGTGAATGTAATAAGTTGAAATGTAAAAATTGTGATATTTTTGGAACTATTAATGCTCTCAGGACTTATTTAAATAATATGGAAGTCTAACATTTTTTTTGTCTTCATTTTCTAACTGATTTTATAATTGTTATTTGATGCCGTTATATTTTATATTTTGTATAGTATTTTATATTACCTATATTAGTATTAGTTTAGTATTTTGTTAAGTATTTATTTTGCTGTTTTTATTCTAATTAATATTGTATTTTTTTTAATGGGGTTACC